GCAACAATAGTGTAGTTTAGGAATAACAATTAGTTATACATTAATATCCAATTGATATATTCATGTATTTTTATTTTTCTACTTGATATTATATAATAAAAAAAAAAAAAAAAAAAAAAAGAAAATCAAGATTTCTAATATATAAAATTATTAATAATTATAATTAGAAAACTTAAATAAAATTTATAAAGATTGAAACAGAAGAATCAATAAATACAAAATGTCAATTCAAGATAATACAAAAATGATAAAAAATCCTTATCTAGTCAAGTTTAGTAATTATTGCAAATATAGAACATGTTTAGAACATATAGAAAATAATATCACTAAATATCAATTCTGTTAAAAGATTTTTAAATAAAAAAAAAAGATGAATTGAATAAAGTTAAATTTATATTATTTAGAGATTTATACTTGATGTTGTCTATGATTAAGTTATAGAATAATCTATAGAAAAAGATAAAGAATAATCTATAAAAAAAGATAAAGAATAAAAGAATAATCCTGAAATATATATATAGTAAAAAGTTTTAATTCAAAAATTTTAATCTAGTAAAAATAAGAAAAAAACAAAGTAATATAAAAACCAATCTACTAAAAAGAATAAAATAAAAAAAACTACCTTATACTTATTATAATAGAATGAAACATTAGTATATGTCACTAAAGAAAGATGATAAAACTAATTCTATATATTTGTTTTTTTAATTATATATAACAATTATATACACATTTAATCATGTTGAATAAGATTATATATGATGTTCTCTATTAACATTAATTTAACATTTTTACTCTTTTTGATGATTCATAAAAGAAAATCATATGTAGAACATATAATTTAAGTAGGAAGAAAATATAAAATTGGAATGTCATGATCAGTGTTGTCAATGGACAGCTTTGAACATGAGTTTGAACATTTTTGAACTTTTTTGAACAAAAATATAAATTAAAATTATTCACAATTTTGTTAAGATAATCTATATATATTTTTAAATAAAAAATATTCAGAACCTAAAAAAATATATAATTATATATTTTTTAGACAAATTTATCAATTATTAGAGCTTGAACATGCTTTGGACACTCTTGGACACTTGGACATTTGAACATTGGACATGATCAAAAAGGCCTTGAACAGTGAAAAATGTACAACACTGGTCATGATTGATTATATAAAGAATGCACAAAATGCATGAAGTGCAATTTTAATCAGAAATGGTATTTCAGATACAGAAAAGTAGATAACAAATAAGAAGAAGATGAAAGATAAATTAAACATCCTTAAAAAAATTAAATAAAAAATTGTAAATAGTTTTAAAAAATTTTAAGGAATAATCATTGTAAAATTACATATGTAAGTAATGAAATTCAATAATATAAATAAAGACTGAAATGGCCTTTAGAAGTAGAAGTACTTGGTTTGCTTTATTAAATAATAAATCTCAATACAATACATAATCCATAATAATAACACACTAGCGCCCTGCCCAGTATAAACCCTATAAACATCGTTGTTCGTTCAAGGTCTCGATCACGTGACCTCCCTGTTGGACTTCGTTGACCCCAAGTAACCGAAAGCCTTAATCACCCACCAGCCAAATCTAACACCCTCTTTCGTAAAGGTTACCTATCGTACGTTACACGATAATTTGGATAGTGGAGCGACCGAGTCACAGTTTTCCGAAAATTCAAAAAACACTTAACATCCCTAAATTAAACACATTGTCTCCTGCGAACCGGATAATGTCGTATTAGGTGGGTCGGCACGAACCTTAATATAAAGATTTGTGTAACAATCTGCATTGCAGAACGATTCATCAGCTGATAGAAGGAATGAACATATGTACCTTGCATGAACATGCATTATATAATAGGTAATTTTTAACAATGGTCATCTAAATAATTTAACAATGACCACCTATCGCATTTGATAATATTTATTATCGTTATAATTTTAACAATAACAATAATCAAACGATTTGCTTGTGCACACTCGGTCATAAAACAATCGATTTCTATAATTTTTCTATGGTAAGGATACTCAAATCGAAATTAATCATTTGATGAAGCAAATGCGATTAAAGATAACTAATAGTCATTGCAAACGACAAATTCAAAAACTAGAAATTAGTAATCAAAGGTTTTTTTTCGTTAAACCAGAGAAATATCTGATTTTTTTTTTTATAGTAATAATGAGATTTAATGACATATTTATGAGACACAAATAAATGTATAAATAAAATACAAATATTGATAATCAAGAATAGACTACATCATGATAGCAAGTATTTTTGCTTAGAAGGAGATAAGATAAAACAATATAGTTACTTATGAATAAAATGGAACAAAAATGAATGGACTATCTTACAATGTTTATATTATTCGAGCTTTGTTCATTGTATATTGTATCACAATAAACGAAAAGAAATAAAAAGGTAATTTCATTAACAAATAATTAAACCCAAAGATATGAGGTCAAAAAATATAAATTACAAAGAAAATAAATAAAGGGTTTAATACAGTATATACAGTATTAACGTAACCTAAAATTAAGTGTGTCCCAAATAGTCGTCACATTAATAACATTATAACCAAGAAGAATCATAAACTTTTTTCTGATCAGCGGTCAACTCCGGTTTTGTAGGTGAGACGGAATTATCAGGTGGTATTTCAAAAGTTGATAAAGCTCTCGGTAAATTAGATTCATTAGCTAAAAGTAAAGTTTTTCTTTGAACATTAACTTTAAAATCCAAATCAGTATCGTTAAGTTGAGAATCTTGTAAGACTTCATGAGGTTCATCATGATTATTATCATCATCATCATTCTCATCCTCATCCTCATTATCATCATCATCATCATCCTCATCATCATCCTCATTATCCTCATAATCATTGAAATCATTCTTTTCAACAATTTGATCATCCAAACTTTTTGGAGGTTCAGAGGCTTGAAGATAACCAGGTTCATCGTTATAATTATCATCATTAGCCTCTTCACTATGTAAATTTTCCATAATAGGAGGTAAAACTTCAGTTAAAGGAGTATTAGAGTCAGCAAGAGGGTCCGAAGGAGGACTATTAACTTCTAGAGATTCATCCAAAGCAAGAGAAGAAATAGGGCTATAAACAAGATCCGACCGATCATTATCATCAATAGAACTTGCATTACTGTAGGATCTCACTCTGATTTTTGGAGAAACATCACGATAACTTAATTTTCTTGAAAATATCTTGAAATCACCGCCACAAGGAGTATGTTGAATATTATCAAAAGAACCAACTTTAGATTTCACAGAACTTAATGGTACCTTTACAGGAATTTTAATAGGAACATATTTTTCACCACCACCAGGAACATGATCAATATTATCGAGAGAACCAACACGTGGCTGCACGTGATCAAAACTTGGTTTTTTCGAAAATATTCTCACGTTACCACCTAATAAATAAATAAATAAACAAATAGCATGTAGAAATTATAGAGAATAGGTAAATATAGATAAATATTTAATAATATCAAAATAAAACTACAAAAAATAAAATCAAGAAAAGTACCTTTTGGAGTATGAGTAATATTATCTAAAGAACCCACACGTGAATGAACTTTAGAGAAATCAACTTTAACAGATTTAATTTTTATATCACCACCTTTTGGAGTATGATAAATGTTATCCAACGAACCAACACGAGGAGTGATATTAGAAAAATCAATTTTAATTGATTCAATTTTTTTATCACCACCTTTTGGAGTATGATTAATATTTTCCAATGAACCAATACGAGATCCTACTTTAGAAAAATCGGGTTTAATCGATAAAATTTTCTTATCACCACCTTTTGGAGTATGATTAATATTTTCCAATGAGCCAACTCGAGATCCTACATTAGTAAAATCAGGTTTAATTGATAGGATTTTTTTATCACCACCTTTTGGAATATGGTCGATATTTTCTAATGATCTTATTCGTGAACCGACATTAGAAAAATCAGGCTTATCCGAAAAAATTTTTATTTCACCTCCTTTCGGTATATGACTTATGTTATCCAAAGATCCTACGCGTGATTTAACATGAGAAAAATCATTTTTTTGAGTAGGGATTATATGAGGAGAAACTCTTGATTTTTTTCCACGACTACTATTACTACTAGTTTGAGATAAAGTATCACTACTTTGAGAACGAGTTAATTGAGGTCTTGGAGAACCGTTTGTAGGAGAATTTTTATTAATGGTAGGTTTAATAGTTGGAGTAGTTGGAGCGGAAATTTTTTTCGTTGACTTGATAGAAGATTTATTTTCATCATCATTATCAATTAATAATAATAATTTACTATTATTATTATTAATTTTTGTTGAATGGTTTGTTGTTGACTTTAGTTGTATATTCGAAGAATTTTTTATGGGTAATTGAGAAGTTAACGGATATTTCGTTACAGCCATCGTTTTTATTATTGAATTAATAGAAAAGGGATGTTAGAAAAATGGAAATATTATTGTAAAAAAAGTAAAAGCGTAAAAAAGTCAAAACAAAACATTCAAAAAAGATTTTAAAGAGTAAGAAGAAATAGAAAGGTCGGATGCATTCGTTAAATAGAGAATGTATATGACAAAGATTTTTTTTTTATTAAAGAACTCGGAAAGACAAAGTGTAAATCCGAACACAACATCCAGAATTGCAAGAGCTGCATACAAAAAAAGAAATTGATAAAACTTGTTACTTTTGTTTAACGTTATTAATAAGTAACGTAACGATTTCAATAAGTTTGTGCATGTGTAATTTACTGAATTAAGTACATAAGAGTGGCGATTGTTTAGAGTTTTTGAAAGCACAGAGATGATACAGATGGAATGATGAAACAATAAACAATTCGAACAAGAATAAAGTTCGTAAATTTTGAGTTAGGTTGGAACGCATTAATATAAAATATGTATGATAATTAATACAGTAATAAATAGAATAATTAATACAGTAATTAATAGTAATTAATAGTAATTCATAAAGTAATATAATTATGTACCTATAAAAACGCATAAAATGGGTCTATACAACAACAAAATCAGACAAATTTCACAAATTTCAGGGGCTAAATCTTTTTTCTCTTTTTGATGATAAGCAATAGCGATAACTTTAAAATTGTTGATATACCGGATATCGACAATGTCAATCCTGTCTATATCATATGAAATAGAAACTATATTGCATTCCTATTGGATCCTTACTATAAACAAAAGGCTGATGTAAGTTCTGATGTAAATTCTGATGTACTAAGGCTAAGCCGGTGTTTGTGGTCCGGTTAAATAACCAGTTCAAGTTTTGATATTGTAGTACTATCAACTCAATCAATGATTGTTAACTTGTAAGGTGTGAATTAATGTTAAGGCTTTAATAACGTCAATAACGTCAATAACGATAGTTAAAAAACAAATATAACATTCTTGCTAAAAATATTTACCATAAATGATAATTTTTAAAATTGCCGCTTATTGGTTTTATGGTAAACAAACAAAATTTATTTTGTTGAAAAAAAATAAATTACCGTTACATATCTTTCGTTTCGTTATCGAAATGCGTATATCGTACGTCATATTCGAAGCGTATATTTTGAGTTGTATCAGAAATTCGATTCTAAGATGCGTCAAACAAGTTTGTCATTGGTGCATCAAATTGGAACAATATAATATACAAACCTTTTATGCTAGTAGAATGAAAAGGTGTTAATTACAAAAATTAAAATTAAAGTTCATTTTTATTCCATGAGTGATACACTACATTCAGCTTTTCGATATTGACTAGAATCATACTTTAACGAACTCTATATGCCCATGTCTGAACCATTTCCTAGTCAATATGTAACGGTAATACAATATTTTTCTATCTAAAAATGGTCATTAGCTGAAGGACTTAACGTTAAATGAGACGTCATCAATCAAAACATAGATTGTGAAATTAAAAAATAGTTACACGAGGTTAATTGTAACATGGTATTTGAATGCCGCCAAGGGAAGAATTTCAATTATATTTTGTGTACAGTTTGCCGTTTAAGGAGAATCTATCGTCGGGCTTCCACATTTCCTGAACTACGAATCAAATTTCAAGATCAAGCGTAACGTAACACGATCAAGAAAGACGTCCGTTGTGTAAAAAATCGCTTATTTCTCAAAAATCAGCATAAGAATTCACTTAATAAAAAGGTTTCGTCAACCAATTTTATTACAAAAACTACTTCCCTCTGATTCCCAAACAAACTTTAAAAAATTTTTGTTGCCAGAAACCTGGCACACATTGAAGAATTGCATTTTTCAGAGGTTACAAAATATATTTGATTGATTCTCCTTAGACGGCCAACTGTACACAAAATATAATTGAAACTTTTACGACAGGTTTTCCCTGGCGGCACTCATTTGTAACAAACTTAGCGTATAATCGGACATAGATAATTAATAAACGACACCCCCACGTTACAATAATTTTTTTTAATAATTGAATAAGTAACCATTTTTTAACTACATACCCTGTATATCGGGTATCTATATATTAGCTGTTAGTACCAGTTTTTTTTTTTTTACTTATTATTGCTTGCTATGTAAAAAACTGGAAGTAATAATAATACATATAAAAAATTGTTCATCACTAGATAATATCTATAAAGAGTCTGGACTATCCTCAAAGAGGGGCTGACAAATACGAATAAAAATAGACCAACCAGATTAATTATAAACCGGACGGTAGAACTTTAATAGTAAAGATCGGCGACGGTGAATACTTTCATCATTAATAGTTTACCGTTACTCTTGAGATCGTACTTATTTATGACATCAGATTTCAAATCACAGGACAGGTAAGGTGATCATTGCCCTAAAAGTGCTCTCCGAGAATACATGACAGAAGTGACAGAAACGGAAAAACTGACCGATAAGGCTAAAGGAACGAAAGACTGTTTAAGGCATATTATATTAGACAAGTAGAATTAATTTAAATAACTTTATTTATTATAAATAAAGTACCTCCGGTACCATGAGAAAAGTGGATTTCGCTATACAATGCTTTTATATTTGCCATATTAAATAATACATGGGTGACTTGAGTGATTGTAGGGATCATTGCTAAAGTGTATAACCTAACCTGGAATTATAGTTAAATTTTTCCCCCGATATTTGTCTGTAGTGAGGTTGTAGATTAATAGTCTCAAAACAGTGTAGACTATCCTGGAAATACATTACGCCACTCACCAAATATAAATATCTCTTTCAAAGGATCTACCCAAAGTAAATATAGTAGATGGTGATGGTTTAGTATTAGTGTGAAACCCCGATTTCAATCCTTTTCTCCGTCAAACTAACTAATTTTTTCTAGGGAATAATGCATATACATTAGAGGTGGAGGCGAATCGTCACAATTATTGCCGTAACATCATTGGGAAATTATCGATTCACCTGCACCTCTAATATATACAATATTAATGAAATAAAAGTATGCAAGACATCAATTTTAGTTCAAAGTAAATCGGTTACTTTGTAACTATGCATATCAACTCAAATTTTAGTCTGATAAAACTCATTTTAAATTCACACTAACGAACAAGACATACTGTACGCACGTACTCAATCAACTATTAGTACTATTATTAAAACTAGGCAGATATCAATGACAAACAAATACTACAAAAGTAAAATTTCATATTATTCTCGAATGTATCAATCAAAATGTATTTACTATAAATCCAGATTTTAGACTCAGTTCACTCTTGCAATTTTTAACATTTGCAATCATAATAGTTGTAGAACAACAATCGCATATTAAGTTCCAACATGCATCTATTAATATCTAGTGCCAAGTATAAGAGTTCGATTATTGGCGTCACTTTCCGCTGCATATATTTTCATTACATAAATAACATGAATGAAGTTTTAATATTTATTTTTTATTCTAAATAGTTTTTACTCTAAGAAGAATTTAATTTGCGCATTGTGATTAGGGCTGTTAAAAGTCCGATCCTATCCGTCCGGACTCCTCAAATAGGGACTTTGATCAGGACTCGATCCTTAAGTCGATCCTTGAGTCATGATAACATGATAATCTCTATCGTTACGTATTCAAAAAATACTCATTATCGCTAAACTTATCGTTATTATTAAAAACTAACACTAATTATTATTTTTATTTTACATTTACTTTCAAAACTTCTGCCTCAGACCAACTTTTTATACATAGAGTGGCCTTTGTAGATTCTTCAAGATTATTTTTTGTAAGATTTATTGTATGTTTCGTCCTAGAAAAAGCATGTTTACATAGAACATTTGTAACTTGCAATGCAAACTAGTTTGTTGCCATTAAAGCTACATTTAGAAAATGGTGAGTTTTCATTTTCTACAACAACAATGAATTAGTATATGATTCTGCAGGTAATGAAATATAGTTTACTAATTTATTTGACAAAGTTTGATTATCTTAACTCAATTTTCCAAATTTTTAAAATATTTTAATAGATTTTTTCTAAGTTCTACTATTATTTCATCTATAAACTGAAATGAATAAGAAATCTTTAAATTTTTAATAACTAATTGGTGATCTTCTTTATTGAAGGTTTCAAACTTAGTAGACAGATCAAGTAGAGTTAAAATAGTTGAAAATTCTAAAGCATAAATCTAGTATTTTAATAATTTTCTTTTTATTTCTTGAGTTGTTTTATACTATATTATATAATTGTATTTGTAGTTTTATTATAATGATCAAGGTAGATTAAAAGTTTTTAAAAAATTATTCATAATGAATCATATAAAGATAATAATGTTTTTGATTATTTTAATATTATTCTATAAAAAGATTCAAAAAACTGAACCATTTTATTAACTACTTTTCAATCATCAGAAAAATTTTAAAAGTAATATATATCATTAGTAATCTTTAGATTACTAACAATATATAGCATCTCTGTCAAGTATTATTATTGGTGATTAATAATGATATATATATAACAAAATTTAACAAAATTTATATAAATCATTATTTATTGATAGTAATTATAATCATTATATATCAATAATTATTATTATTATTATTATTTTTTGGTATTAAGGTGAGGTTTTATCTTTATTTTTATTAATAATTTGTTATGAGCAACTACATGAGTTGACATAGGTCAAAGCCAATTTATAAATTTTTTACAAGAATGAGACTCAGACTATAGATGAAATTATTATCTAATTTATTTAATTTATTACAACCTAAACCTACTAAAGTGGTTAAAACTCACCTAGATTTGATAATGTAAAATATGATTAGTTGAAGTACTATAGTTTATCTATTCAGATATCTATTTAGTTAGTTTTTTATTAGTTTTTTCTTGTGGTAGACAAGTATAAGAATTGTAAAAGTCTCCAGTATGTCATTGGTTAGGAAGATTACAAGTGCAACTATAAGTATATACTGTTCTGGCTTA